TATCTTTTTCTGGTCTTGTATGAGGGCAGCATTGGCCTCATAGAATGAATTGGTTAGTGTCCCTTCCTTTTATGTCTTTTGAAAGAGTTTGTGAAGATTTGGGGCTGACTTGTCTTTAAACGTTTGGTGGATTCACCACTAAAACCATGTGTACCTGGGCTTTTCTTTCTGGGAAAATCAGTTCCATTTCTTTCCTCATCATGGGTCTGTTCAGATTTTCCGTTTCTTGTTGGGTTGAGTTTGGTCGTGTGTGTCTTTGTAGGAAGTTGCCCGTCTCACCTGTGTCCTTATTCATTGTGTTCCCTCCTAAGCCTTTCCCCCCAATCAGGTGAGCTGCAGCATGGGCTCATTCAGCCCTGATTTTAGTAATTTGGGGTCTTATCTTTTTTTTTCTTGGTCATTTTATCAAGTTTGTTAGTCACTTTAAAGAACCAACTTTTAGTTCTGTTGATTTTTCTCTATTGTTTTTCAATTCTCTTGTTTTATTTATTTCTGCCCTAATCTTTATTCTCTCCTGCTTGCTTTGAATTCAGTTTGCTCTTTTTCTAGTTTTTTTTATGTTGTTGAGATCTTCGTTGTTCTTTAAAAAATAAAGGTATTTATAGTTATAAATTTCTCTCTAAGAACTGCTTTCACAGCACCTTATTTTTGGTACATTGCGTTTTTCATTGAGCTGAAAATACTTTCTAATTTCCTTGTGTTTCCTTCTTTGACTCACTGGTTATGTAGGTGTGTGGTGTTTAATTTCCAAGTATTTGTGAATTTCCCAAATTTCCATTGGCTGTTGACTTCTCATAGAATTCATCTGTGGTCAGAGAACATACTTCTATGATTCAGTTGATTTACATGCACTGAGACATGGTTGATGGCCCAGCATATCCTATAGTTCCATGAGCACATGCGCTGTCTGTTTGCTCAGTCCTCTGCAGGTGTCCACCGGGGCTCCTGTTGGTTAAGTCTTCTGTTTTTATTTTTGCTGTAGGAGTTTTGTTGTGTTTCCTTTGTCTTCTTTCAGTTTGCTTAAAAACCAAAGCTTCAATGTCCCTTCCTGGGTTAATTTGTCTTTAAGTCTTTTGATGATGTATCTCCAGTCTCATTCTAGGATTTCTATTTCCTTAGGGAGAAAAAATCATACCATTGTACTAGACTTGATTTTCTTTAGTAAGACTCTGGCAGTTGTCAATAAAGCCAAAGGATGGCTTGACTCTTATGTTGCTTTTGTCATGGTGCCCTGATGGTCCCTCTTAATTACTGTCCATGCTGCTGTGGTGGTACATTCCTAGGGCTTGGCAGTACCTGCCACAGAGACACAGACAGTGGGTGCTACGAGTGAACAAATGACTCATTCTGCTCTATGATCTTGGTCTATAATTTGTCTTCTCCATTTTCATTTCATTCTATATTCCTAATTGTATATATTTCAATGCTCTTGTTTATTCTGAAATACATCCTGTTTTTTGACCTGTTTCAGTAGACTTGTTTGTAATTTATTGAGTTTACCGGAATTCTAATTTTTTAACTGTTGATTTTGAAATTATTTAAAACTTAAAATTTTTATAAAAAGGTTTCAAGTTTCAAGAGTAGCACAAAAACCTCTAATATTCTGGTCACCCAGATCCATCAGTTTTTATAATCTGCTTTATCATTTGATCGGTTCTCCTTCTGCTTTGTTTTGCCTGTATGTGTGAGTTTCCGGTTTTTGCCTTGTATATAATCTGGCACATACTTGGAACTCAGTAACTGTTTCTTAAGTGAATGATTAAATTATTATTGTATTGAGACTTAAGAACCTTTGTGCTTGTGTCTTTCTCTACCTTTTCTCCCTACTTCTTTTTAACTATGCTGTTTCTTTTTCTTTCTTCCATTCTGGGCCTTAGTCTGCCTGTGGGATTGATTTTCCTGCCTGTTGTCTAGAGCCTGTGGGTCCTGATAACTCTTTGTTTTGCTAGTTCACAGTAATGTTACATGCGGACTGCAAAACTTTATAGATGTCAAGAAAGATCAAATCTGTTGTGCACTAGTATTTTTTGAAGCTTGTTATTCTTTCCTTGAGAAGCACTAAATCAGTCTGACCCACTGAGCTTTCTCGTCGTGAGCTATGCTCTTTTTACCTTCCCACGGATTGTATTGTTCTTGGTTACTCCATGTAGATTTTTTTCCTCTAGCCTTGGGATTGGAGTTAAGTTTATCAGCAAGGGGCTAGAGGTCTCTTTAATAGATGGAAGGGACATGTAGTTGCCCCTTCTTCATGGTTGGGGGTTCCCTGCAGTGCTTTGAACATGTGCTTCTTAGAAGAGAAGAGGTACCATATGAAGAAAGAAAAGCCCACCTCATTCTTACCCCCTGTTTTCTTTTCTCCAAGGGAAAAAAAGAGTAAAACTCCATAATGTAAATATAGGCGCAGTGCTCATAGCTCAGTGAGTAGGGCTTTGGCTACATACTCTGAAGCTGGCAGGTTCGAGCCTGGCCTGAGCCTGCTAAATAACAATGACAACTGCAACCAAAAAATAGCCAGGTGTTGTGGTGGACACCTGTAGTCCCAGCCACTCCGGAGGCTGAGGCAAGAGGATTGCTCAAGCCCAAGAGTTTGAGCTTGAGTTGGGGGGTTGCTCCTAAAGGTTGGGTTAGGGGGTCTTGCTCCAAGGGGGTTCTGGCTTGGCTATGAGCTGTGATGCCACAGCACTCTACTGAATGTGACAAAGTGAGACTCTGTCTCAAAAAAAAAATGTAAAGATAATTTGTTAAAGCTAATGAAATAAATCAAGGCCCTCTGTTATTTATCAAGTACTAATGTATGACACAAACAAATGTCTTGTAAGCATGAGCAACGCAAACACATAAACCAGGGCTGTACTCTGGTTAGGAACATAGGCCCAAGATGGTCTCCTACCCTGGACTCACCAGCTCTGTAATCTTGAGAACTAATAATACTTCCTCTTTAGGGTCACCTCACTTGCAGAAATGGGGACATGAAGGGAATTTCTCTCATGGAGTTGCTGTGAGTTGTAAATGAGAACATGAGTTTTTGGCAAGGGCCCAATTTTCCCTGAGTGGGAAAAATGCTGCTTTAGGTGTGATGGTGGTGTATAATGGTGACCCCGCACATCCTCACGCTCCAAGGGGGTTCTGACTTGGAGGTGGAATTCTCAGTCCAGTAAGCACCCCCGGGGTCTGTGACTGGGTCTGGTGGATTTGAATCTATTCTTTAAAAAGTACATATTTTGGATACTTTTTTCTAAGCATTCCCTTTTGTATTATTATTTATAGTTCTTACATCTCATTTCTTGCTGTGATTTTCACAAAATCTGCAGGAAACAAAATCCTAAACCACCTGCCTCTTCACAGTTCTCTGTTATCGTTCTTTCTTTCCTTACTGGAAGAGGATTCTGCATATGAAATTCTTTGTTCCTGTTTTCTTTGAGTTTCTGTCCGTGTTTGTTCATTGATCTCTATCCACTTATTTATTTCTTCTTTTTTTGTCTTATTCCAGAAAGCATTTGAGGCAGCTTACAGAATTGGAGAATAAAAAATAAGCAAGTTAGAAAGTTAGACCAAGATTAGAAAACCAGGATAAGAGAGATAAGCTTGCAGAGTGTTGGGGCAGCGTGAGGACTGTGTCCCTGCTGCCCATGTGTGCAGTCAGTATATGGACGGGCAGCAGATAGGGCCCCAGCCTCGCAGCAGGCACAAGGAAAACAGGATTGATGGAAGATGCCTACTGTCTGTAAGAGAAATAAGTGGCTAAGGAGAATCCCAGCTTTTCTTTTCTTTTCTTTTTTTTTGAGACAGAGTCTCCCTTTGTTACCTTTAGTAGAGTGCCGTGGCATCACAGCTCACAGCAACCTCAAATTCTTGGGCTTAAGTGATTTTGTTGCCTCAGCCTCTCAAGTAGCCGGGACTATAGGCACCCAGCCCACCACAACACCTAGCTATTTTTTGTTGTGGTTGTCATTGTTGTTTAGCTGGCCCAGGCCAGGTTCGAACCCACCAGTGCCCATGTATGTGGCTGGTGCCCTAACCACTGAGCTATGGGTACCTAGCCCCAGCTTTTCTTGCGATTGAAATTTAGGAGATTTGGCTCAGCATCCATAGCTCAGTGGCTAGGGCACTGGCCACATACACAAGGGCTGGCAGGTGCGAGCCTGGCCTGGGCCTGCTAAATAACAACAACAACAACAAAATAGCTGAGTGTGGCACCTGTAGTCCCAGCTACTTGGGAGGCTGAGGTGGGAGAATCGCTTCAGCCCATGTATGTGAGGCTGCTGTGAGCTGTGATGCCACAATGTTGTACTGAGGGTGACATAGTGAGACTATCTCAAACAAACCCACAAAAAAACAGAAATTTAAGAGATTTTTCTTTTAGTGTTCTATGAAATTAAAAAATATTTCAATTTACTTTTTTTCCTGCCAGTGTTCTGTTTATAACTGGTTATATTTTGTAAATGGCCGTTTCTTCAAAATTCTTCCCTGTTTGGGTCTGATGGCTAGGGAATTAAGTGGCTTTGCTTATTGACAAGAGTTGGTCAGAAATAGAAAATGATAGCCATGGAAAGGATGCTAGTGTTGATAAGCTATTTTTTAAAATGTTGTGCAGGTCAGGAAGTGCTTTTATAGTTTGTCCTCTTTGAGGCTGCAGCATGGTCTCTGGCGAGCCTTGAGAGCTCCACGCTGAGAGAATGTGCACTGGCTTTGCCATTGTCTTCAAGACAACTAAGCCCGTTATTATAAACACGTTATTTCTTATGTAATGCATTTCATGCTCTTTTAATAAAAAATTTCAACAGGGAGGAAAACTTATTCTGACTTAATTAACATTTAATACAATGCTTTGATGGTAGGACTATTATAGAAAGTATGTAAGCTGTGAAAACTAAACACTGCTTCATTATTTAAATTTCAGTAGGGCATATTTAAGTTTTATCTTATTTGTGCCCCTCTTTAACAAAGAAATAAGACAGAGAAAGCAAGAGATTATTTCTTTCCTTCCTCTTGGTTTGCAGGTGCCCTCACCACCAATGGCATAAATCCTGACACCAGTGCTGAAATTGGACGTGCTAAAAACTGTCTCAGCCCCGAAGACATAATTGACAAATATAAAGAGGCCATTTCTTATTACAGCAAGGTAATTTTATTGCTTTGTAAATTTTATATGTAAATGTATTGTAATCAGAAGTTCACATTTTACACAGTGTAATGCTAAGATAGCTCTTAATTATTTGTTTCTATAATTATTCATGTATTATTCTCTAATGCATGACACTGTATACACAGAAATGTTTTCCAATTCAAAACAATACATTTAATATCATAAATGTGGAAGAAGGGGAACAATGCTATTATAGCAACAGTAAGTATCTATTTTCTTGTCCTTTTGATGGTGCGCGTACTGCACTCCCATACTGTGTGGTGACAGTAAGGTTTCATTTGGCACGTTATGTGTTTGTCTACGTTATTAGATCTTCCTTGGGATGGTTTTTCATGACCTATATAGCATTCTGTCTTGTGGGTGCACTATTCTTTCTACTTAGGACATAAAACAATTGCAAATTTCAAATGCACTTACTAAAATCGTGAAAAAGAAAACTTAAGTTGTATAGAAGAGTGGCAATGAATAAAGAATGAAAGTCCTCCATCTTCTCTGCCCCTATTTCCTAAGGGTGGCAAGTACTAATAACTTAGCATATATCCTTCATGGCCTTTGTCTATGCCTATGAAATACACTCACATACACGCTTTATTTTAAAAAATGGGACTGTGCTATCTATGCTATTCTGCCTCTTGCTTTATTCAGTTAGCAATATATCAGAGATCATAGATGCTCTCCTACCTCAAGGCCTGCTTGATTCTTTCAAACGGTGGGGAGAGAGAGGGCTTCTCGGCTGTGGTGTGGTCGGTGTGGTCGTTTACTCTGCAGCGCATCTCATGGGACTCTCCTAAGTGGCACCTGGAGTAAGATGAAATGCCGGGTCTCTTAGAGTTCACAGCTTGCTGTGATTTACTTAATTATTCCCTTGTTGATAGATTCTTAGGGTTTCTCACTTTTTCACAGTTAGAAAAAAATGCTGTACTGAACAGTCTTTTTTTTTCTTTTTTTGAGACAGAGTCTCAAGCTGTCACCCTGGGTAGAATGCCATGGCATCACAGCTCACAGCAACCTCCAGCTCTTGGGGTCAAGCGAGTCTCTTGTCTCAGTTTTTTCTATTTTTAGTAGAGATGGAGTCTTGCTTTTGCTCAGGCTGGTCTTGAACTCCTGAACTCAAGCCATCCACCTGCCTCGGCCTTCCAGAGTACTAAACAGTCTTGTACCTATATTCTTGTATGAGTATTCCTTTAGGTTAGATACAGTATTTCTAGAAATTGAATTGCTGTATATGGCATTTACAAGGGTTCTGTTCAAGTTACTCTTAAAATTCCTTCTCTATTAGAGAATGAAAGACACAGAATTATTTAGTTAACCCATCTTTTATTACTGAGTATTATTCAGTATTGATTTTTCTTTTTCCAATGTTGTAAACAGTGCTCTCATAAATGTCCCTGTAGATAAATTTTTTTTTTTTTTTGAGACAGAGCCTCAAGCTATCGCCCTGGGTAGTGTGCCATGGCGTCACAGCTCACAGCAACCTCCAACTCCTGGGCTCAAGTGATTCTCTTGCCTCAGCCTCCCAAGTAGCTGGGACTACAGGTGCCCGCCACAAGTCCCGTCTATTTTTTGGTTGTAGTTGTCATTGTTTGGCAGGCAGGCCGAATTTGAACCAGGCAGCTCTAGTGTATATGGCTGGCGCCTTAGCCGCTTGAGCAATAGGCTCCAAGCTGATAAATATTTTTGGATTGATTTTTTTTTTTTAACGGAACAATTCTTAAAAGTGAACTTGAGTTAAAGAGTATACATTTTTTGGGGGGTCATATATTACTATATTGTTAATTTACTCTCCCACAAATGAACACTAGCTATTATCCTTTTAAATTATTTGCCAATATGAATGGAAGACATAATTTTTCATTGTTTTAGTTTGCATATACTTATTCCTTTGAGGTGAGGTCTCTCACTGTTGCCAGACTGGACTTGAACTCCTGCGCTCAAGGCATCCTCTCAGTGCAGCCTCCCAAATAGCTGGGACTGTAGGTGCACCACCATTTCTGGCTTAGTTTGCAGTAGATCACACCAGTGGGATGCTGCACGCTTCTTTTTAGCCGTTTGTATTTCTTTTATTAACTACTCATTTGTGGCCCTTGCACCCATTTAACTTAGGGAGCTTTTCTCATTGCATTGTGGTAGCTCTTTGTATATTGTGAATATTAACTTGTGTATCATAAACATTAGACTTTTTAAAATCTTATTTGCCTTTTAATTTTCTTTATGAGGTGTTTGCTTTTGGTTTGGTCACAATGTATTTTTAATGTAGTAGGCCCTTTCCTCGTGGGTTTTGTCTTTTAGTATTATTCTTAGAAATACCTTTTATTGTTTTCTGAGACAGAGGCTTGCTCTGCCACCTTGGGTAGAGTCCAGTGGGGTCATCATAGCTCATTGCAACCTCTAACTCCTGGGCTCAAGCAAACCTGCTGCCTCAGCCTCCCAGGTAGCTGGGACTACAGGTGTGTGCCATGACACCCAGCTAATTCCTCTATTTTTAGTAGAGATAGGGTCTCACTCTTGCTTAGGCTGGTCTTGAATTCTTGAGCTCAAGTGATCCTTCTGCCTTGGCCTCTAGGAGTGCTAGGATTATAGGCATGAGACACTGTGCCTGGCCTTAGAAATACTTTTGTAACAATAGAATAAAATTCTTTTTATATCTAAGTAAAATCAATACTAAACTGTTTTTATATCTAATAGAACTTTTTTATAACTAAAATGGGGATGAAGTTAAGTACCCATCATCTCATAGAGCTGTAGACAGGTATCCTGTATCTCAGATGCTGAGATAACATATACAAAATACTTGTCTACTGTTAGTATTTTTTAGTATTTGCATTGTTATTTATAATTTATTTTGTGTGTTTTATGACATCAAAATGCAGTTTTTTTTTTCCAGGTTACCTAATTGACTCACCAAAATTTATTGAATTCATATTTTTTCTTCAATTTGAATTCTTACCTATACTAAATGCTGTCTCTGTTTCTAAACTTTTTATTCCTTTCTGCTAATCTATCTTTTTTTAACTCCAGCACCATGGCATTTTATCTATTGTAGTTTACTTACTATCTAAAAGTATGACTCTTTTTCTTAAATTGTTTCCTCATTTAGTATTCTTGAGGAATAATAAAATAATTTGTTCAAGTTAAAAAAAATCAGATTGAAGTTTGATGCGGCTTGCAGTAGGTTTTAAATTATTTTTTAGAGAGAACTTTTCTATTTACATTATTGCTTTCCTCTATAAAATATGTTAATGTCTCTATAATTTTATATTGGATTTCTGATTTTGGGCTAAGGAAATGCTCTCTATTAGAAAAGATGAAATGGAGGTCTTAGGCATTCTTCTGAGATATTGGTGTTATTGTATTTTGAATTGGAAGGAACCTTAGTTCCTTCCAATGGCCTTCTGCCATTTAGTAGGTATAATGAAACTGAAGCCCCAGGGGATACCCAAGGGTTTTTGTTTTTTTGTCACTTTGTCACCCTGGGTAGAATGCGGTGGTATCATAGTCCTCAAACTCTTGGGCTCAAGTGATTCTCTTGCCTTTAGCATTTGGAGTACAGGACTACAGGAAACCTGTCACAATGTCCAGCAGGGGGGCTCTATTTTTAGAGGTGGGGGTCAAGCTGGTCTTGAACTCCTGAGCTAAAGCAATCCACCTGCCTCAGCCTCCCAGAGTGCTGGGGTTGCAGGCGTGAGCCTCGTGACTGGCCCTGGGTTGTGTGTCTTCATCAGAGTCATACAATGGCATGATTTGAACTGGAGTCTAAGTCTTAATCATCTTGTACACACAGATAGCAAGCCAGTGATTTGGGAGGGCAGAGGACCCTCCTCTCTTGGTTTCCATGTTTGGTAGAGGTCTTAGTGCTGACCTGCCATTAGTTTATGTCCATCGTGGCTTCTCCAGGGAAGGCTACTCTCTCCTAATCAACTGAATTTCTAATCAAGAATATGCTGTGGACCCATTCTCATTTCCCAGAGAGAGACTATTGGACATAAAACCCTGTGGTTGTACTTTGCCTTCTAGGACCCTCCATGTGGGGTGCTGTCTAGGGCTAGATGAGGTTAGCCTTGAATAAAGTGAGGGTAAAAATCTGTGGTGCTGAACCTTCTCTCATTTCCACTTTAGCTTTGGAGTCAGGCCGACTTGCATTCAAATCCTGCCTTCACCAGTTACTAATTTTGTGACTTTGAGCAAGTAACTGTACTTTTTGGGTCCAATTTTGTTTTTTTGTAAATAAGGATTATATTTATTTGGGGGTTACTGTTAGAATTGAATGAGATAATTCCCTTATTTATTCCTAAAATATTGATTATATGGTACTATGCTGGGCCCTTAGTAGATAGTTATAGGGACTGAGCAGTGAGAATGGAGGCCCAGTGCCTGCATCACAGAGCTGTGTACCAGGTAATGCCTGTAGAAGGCCAGGTGTGTCATAGATTTTTAGCAAATGGCTATTTTCCCCTAATCTCCAATTGAATGTGGGTGTCTTTCTACTAATACAGAATAATTTTTTATGATTTAATTTTAACTATCTTTGTAATAAAATTAAAATAAATTTAACTAAAATATATGTGGAAAAAACCCTGAGTTGACTTTTATTTTTTTTTTTTTGGAGACAGAGTCTCACTTTGTCACCCTTGGTAGAGTGCTGTGGTGTCAGAGTTCACAGCAATCTTCAACTCTTGGGCTCAAGTGATTCTCTTGCCTCAGTCTCCCGAGTAGCTGGGACTACTGGTGCCACAATGCCCAGCTATTTTTAGAGATGAGATCGCTCTAGCTCAGGCTGGTCTTAAACCTGTGAGCTTAGGCAATCCACCCGCCTTGGCCTCTCAAGCAAGTGCTAGGGGATCCAGGCATGAGCCACCACACTGGCCCTGGGTTGACTTTGTTTCTCACTTCAGTAGAAACTGTTTTAAGAGTTCTGAAGGAAAAATCATCATTTTCTTTCAATAGAATCAAATCCCTATGTTAGGTTTTTTGCCTTTTTTTTTTGGTGTGTGTGTTATTAAACGGTACATAAAAATTGATAAATTTCTGACTTCAATGTTGGCATTTAGGTAAGTATAGTTTCTTTTTCTGATTGTCTTTGATAAATTGTAATATGTCACAGGTTATGTGCATGTTACAAGTGTAGAAAAGGGGAAAGGATGAAGATTTGTGCCACCTCATGGATATATTTAGGAAGAAAGGTGACCAGTCACACCTGGGCTCCTTGGTTATGGGTGAATAGGCAGACTGCATCTTCTTGGGCACCTGTGCCAGGCCAGGTCTACGGTGGTCTCAGCAAATGCTTATTTTAGATTAAATGCATCAATTGTTATGTTTTAATGCCTTTACAAAAGAATATCAGTGTGTTATCTCTCCTAAACTTCAGAGTCTCTTTAGGTTAGTATACATGGACTTAATGTCTATAAACATATCCTTAATTTGAAGAAGTTTTTTTTAGTTATATCAATTGAAAATGATTCCAGCTGGGATAACTAGGAAAAAAGAGTGTTTGGAATAGAAATGAAAAATGTGGAAGAACAGTTAGCTTGGGGGATTTTGCAGCAGAGGCCTGGGAGAGAGGAGGGCCTAGGGTGGGGCTGGGACCGGAACCTGGCTTTATTCTCTGCTCTGAGTCTGGAGCCACCCAGTGTGGCTGGTGGTGGATCCTAGCTTGAAGTTAGGAGAATTGGGGGTGATGTTTGAGATATACCCCCCCAGTTTATTGAGTAGATAAATAAAGTTTTACAAAAGCTTTTCTGTTCCAAATGTCTTTGGTCTTTATCTCAGGAACCATAATAGGATCTGAGAAATAGGAACAAGCAACCTAGAGATGGGAAATCAGGAAGACTTTGAACATACAGGGAGCCAGAATTTTTCCAACTAAGTAAAATGCATTTACAAACTGTAGTAAAGCTAGCTGCAGGTGTGAGAAATTCTGAAAATGTTTAGAGTACTTTAAGGGATGATAAGCAGAAATGAATAGCAAAGTATCTGTTGATAATATTTTGAAATTTTGCAAAACAGCAAGCTGTTGTGATTGAGTTATTTGAATGAACACATATTTATGTGGGTTCAGTCAGTCTCATTTTTTGCCCCCCAAAATGATAGACTCTCAAAAACAAATTCTCATTTCTTGGGGTGGGATGGGTTATCAGAAGCCTTAAGCTGGGGAAATTGCTGTTGTGGAGTTGTTGAGTCCCAGTGGTGCAGCCTTCAGAAAATGACAGAAACATCTTCATACTTCTTCTTTGACTAAGGAACCTCCTTTGTATCCTACAGTATAAGAATGCTGGAGTGATTGAATTGGAAGCATGTGTCAAAGCAGTACGTGTCCTTGCAATTCAGAAGCGGAGCATGGAAGCCTCAGAATTTCTTCAGAATGCGGTTTACATTAATCTCCGACAGGTGAGATATTTAGCTAGTCTAACTTGGATCTTCGCAGATAGGAAAACAAAGACTCCAAGGTTAGGACACAAGAGTAGAAGGAAAACATAGGTCACTGAGATTTAGCAGATGCTTAGTGAGCAGGACATTGAGCGAAGAGTGGGGAAAGAGAGAGGAAGCAGGTACCTGCTTGAGCTGGCAGTTCTGCAGGAAAGGCAGACCTGGAGCGGTGGGGTGAGTGAGAAGCAGTGAAGGTGCTGCACCAGGGAGCAAGTCGGTGGCCCCAGATTTAACCTGGAGATTGGAGATGGCCAGATGAAGAGGAGGCGTGGGAAGGAACATTCAGGAAGAAGATGGCTTAGCATGAGTGTGTCTGAAACTGACAGGCAGATCCCTGGGACGGACCAAACGATGCAAGAGATGGGGATGGGGCAGAGGGGAAGAGAGTGGGAGGAAAGGACAAGTCCAAGCAGGAGGGCTTTACGGTTCAGCTGCAGAAGGTGGGGTTTCTTCTAAGAGTAGTGGATTTTATTTTATTTATTTATTTTTATTTAGCAGGCCCTGGCTGGGTTTGAACCCACCACCCCCTGTGCACAGGTCCAGTGCTTTAACCATTGAGCTATGGGCACTCAGCCCTTTTATTTTATTTTTTAAATTCAGATTAATATGGTGGTACAAGTGATTAGGTTACATTATTTATGTTTCTAAGGCAAAGTTCAAGTTGTAGTGGAGGCAGCTGAGCCCTTCATCCTGGGGTGTGCTGTGCACCCTCACAATGTGCCCATCAGGGGGCGTTTACCAACCCTCTTCCCTCCCCTCCTCTCCGCTTTCTCCTTTTCCTCCTCTCTCCTCCCCGCATTTGAATTCACTTGTGTTATTTTCTCTTATGGGCATGTAGTTGTGTTTTTATCAGATTCATTTCAGTGTTGAGTACAGTGTGTACCTCATTTCCATTCTTGTGATAAGGATGTGTTTCATTTCCATCCAGGTAAATATAAAAGATTTAAAGTCACCATAATTTTTATAGCTGAATAGTATTCCATGGTATACATAGAGTAGTGGATTTTAAAACAAAGGTCTTAATAGCAGAGGAACTATGTGATTAGATTTTTATGGAGTAGGTAGTTTGGAGGTTCTTGGGGAGTCCAGGCAGGTGGTACTGATGGCTTCCTCCAGAGGGGTGGGGCTGTCCATGGAAAAGTCAACCAACCCAAAACATGTTCAGGTCTCCACAGAAAGGATTGATGACTGGCCGTGTGAGAGGGTCAGAGGGCATCACAGCCAGTTCTGTTAGGTGGATGATGGCTGACCTTGATCAGAGAGGGGCAAGCTGCAGAAGAAGTTGGGAAGGGTGAGAAAGTCATCTTTGCACATAATGAAAAGACCGAGCTGTGTGGGGCTTGGCCTTAGGTGAGAGGGTGGAGCGTGGAGGAGAGGAGGGAGAGACGTCAAAATCATTTTCCACTTTGAACATAAAGTAGGACTAAACATACAAAAATTATACTATTAAGATGCTCATGTCTCCTTCATCTAGATGGAGGACGTTGACATCTATACTGTTGACGTTTTGCCGTATCTGCTGTAGAGATTTTTTTCTTTTCTTTTTTTTTTTTAGCAACAGAGTCTCACTTTGTTGCCCTTGGTAGAGTGCGTGGCATCACAGCTCACAGCAATCTCCAACTCCTGGGCTCCAGCGAGTCTCCTGCCTCAGCCTCCTAAGTAGCTGGGACTACTGGCGCCCGCCACAACACCCGGCTATTTTTTGGTTGCAGCCGTCATTGTTGTTTGGCGGGCCCAGGCTGGATTCGAACCTGCCACCATAGGTGTATGTGGCTGGCGCCTTAGCTGCTTGAGCCACAGGTGCCGAGCCGGGCTTAAGTGATTCTTTTGCCTCAGCCTCCAGAGCAGCTGGGAGTAGAGGCACCCATCACAATGCTTGGCTATTTTTTGTTGCAGTTTGGCCGGGTCTGGGTTTGAACCTGTTACCCTCAGTATATGGGGCCAGTGCCCTACTCATTAAGCCACAGGCGCCGCCCCAACTGTAGAGATTTTTAATTTTTTCAACAGAAAATAACTTAAATAGAAACAAAATAAGAGAGTTAACTCCCATCTTAGAGTTGGTAAGTATGATTCCTGGCCATACTTTGATACTTTATATTTTCATAGTCATGGTCTATAAAAAGAGACATGTTCTAGCATCACGGTCAGATGCAGAGTGCTGGGGTTGGGGTTCTGGCTCCACTCTCTTTGGCAGGATATTTAAGCTCTCTGTGCTTTAGTTCTCTCCTTTCAAAATGAGTTCATAGCATCTCAGCTAATTTCCAGGACTGGACATTGGGTGCGAGGCTGGCCAAGCAATGTCAGGATGTCAGCCTATAGCCAGCACCTAAGGGGAGACACAACCAGAAGAAAGCCAAAAACAACCAAACAACAATTCCCACAATGTTTTAGACCCTTTAGTATAAGGGAAACAATGCCTCAGAGCTGGGGAACATATTTGTATCGCTGGTCCAGTGTGTCATGAGAAAATAGCTAAGAAGAGGTGCGTCTCTTGGTTTGTTTTTTTCTTCAGATTAGGTTCACTGTTTGCATTTGTTAGATGAAGTTGCGGTTGTAGTTGTGCCCCTTACCCAGGAAGTGTGCCCTGTACCCTTACGTTGTGCTCATTAGGTGGGAGCACACCAGTCCCCCTCACTCCTCCCCTCTCCCCCATCCCTCTTCCTCTCTCCCCTCTCCCTCCTCTTAACTGAATTGAATTGAGGCTTTCTCTTGTGTGTATTAGTTTGTCTCTGGCTTTGTATTAGTATCGAGTACATTGGATACTTGCATTTCCATCTTGTGATCCTTTACTAAGAAGAATGTGTTTCAACTCCATTCTTTTGGCTTATGTTGATGTTTCCAGTAAAGATGAGGAGAAAGAGCAGAAACCTGGCGTGTCACAGTGGAAGCTTCAGTTATGTGCCCAAAGTGAGACAGTCAGTCCCTTGTGATGCAGGGGAACAGCGATGTCTGGATTGCATTTATCATTTAACATGGTGTTGGGGTGACCTTCTGGGCCTGAGCACTGTGAGAGACTGTAAATTCACAGGATGGTGAGGTGTAGTCTAAACGTCCGGTGCTGCTGACAGACCTTCAGGACTTCTCCGGAGGGCCCTGCTGAGGGTGTGAGGCAAGGCTTTCCAGAGAGTGGCCTGAAGAGCCTCTGGGCAGAGGGGCTGGGGGATAAATGTGTGGTTGGGGCTGAGCACTGAGTGGGAAATAATTCAGGGCCAGAGTACTTTTGTTTGTGAGGGACATTGGGGGAAAAGATACTTCAGAGGCAGGTTGAGTCAGATCCTGTTGAAGATCCTGTATAAAAGTAAAGGATGTATGGAGCATATTTGCAAGGGTACAATCAAACCTGTCAAGCATAGAACATAAATGTCTTAACACAATAATTAGGTAAATGAGGCGAAAGCTATGCTGATTGGTTTGATGTAACCACGTCAGATTGTATAAAAAAATCAACACGTTGTGCCCCACATATGCATAAGTGTATTCATGATCTATGTGTATATGGCTTAAGAAAAAAGTAAAAGTAAGGGATGATGGACTTGTCGGGTAGGCAGGAGAGATTCGTGGACCCCAGCTGGGGGGCAGTCCTGTGGGCTTGGCTTTGAAGACCACTTCTGCTCCTCGTTAGCTGCGTAACCCTGGGCAGACTCACTCAGAGTGCCTGACTCTAGTGTTATCATCTGTGAACTAGTGCAGTGATGAACTCCTGCTGATTAGATGGCCTGGTTAGATCAGATACTTCACGTCCTGCACCGATTCAGCACCCGTCCCATGGGTGACTACGACGGGCAAGAACTATGATCAGGTTGTAGAGCTTAGAGAGACACCTTGTGACAGGACAGAAAAAGGATTGTGCTTTTCAAACAGATCCTTAAAGGCCTAAAGCTACAGAATTATAGTCTGGCTGGCAGCTGGTACCCGAGGAATTTGAGACTTACTCGATCTTAATGGCTAGAGTTTCCTTTGAAAATTAAGGTCGAAAATTTGGGCTTGCCACAAGCTGTTTTCACAGGTGGGTGTATAAATACATGTATTTTATAAAATAAAATGTATTCATTAAAAATGTGTGGGAATTTGTTGTTGTTTGCTGCAGCCCTTCCTTTTCTGTTCTCTCAGTCTTCCCCTGGACCACTAGAGGTCAGCAAAGACACACGGGAAGGGGTTCAAGACACAGTGGACTCCTGCCACTGGGCGGCGGGGACAGGGTGGACGTGTTTACTTGGCCTTCTGAGTTTTCCCCAACAGGATCCTTTGCTTTCTTTGACTCATCTCCATGTTTGTTTGCCAGATGAGCAGGCGGCAAAATAATGAGTTCTGGGGGGATTTTATTATAACAATAAAAAAGAAGGGCCTGTAGTTCTTCTGAAATAGAACCAGCTTTTGGTTCTTGATCAAGTATATTCTATTGTAGAAGTGATGTGTTATGTCTATTCCTGGAAATGATTCTGGCTGATATGGAAATTTTGAAAGGAGCTGAGATATTATTATTGTAGGTTCCTTCTGCTTCAGGAATCCCTGTGCACCCATAAAAACTGATAAATAATACATTTGGATTTAGTGGTGTTGGAAAGTGGTGTTCTTCACTTTACAGAATTCAGTGCAGGATCCCCCTCTTTGTGTTCAGGGACACAGACTGAACTGCCTTTCTCTTGTTGTTTTGGTGTGTAGTTTATAATAATTACCTAGCTATGGTAACTGACAAATGGCAGCACGCATTTCATTATGAATGTGTGTGTTTGACTTGTAGATTTTACAAGCAAATGATAAGAGAGAGGTGAGGGGGAAGGAATAAGGACTGTGGCACCCCAGATTGAGGTTTAAGTCGCCATTTCTGCCCTGTGTGAGTTGGTATGGTTGTAACCCCTATAGCCTGTTTCCAGATCTGTAAAATGGCAATGAGCTGTTTTGTCAGTGGTATAATAATGTATATAAAGTGCTTGACATACACAAAGTGTTCAGAAGATGTG